AGAGGGTACAAAAAAAAGTGCACAGGGTACATTCAAGTACTCAATGAGTACAATCCAAACCAACAAAAAAAAGTTAGATTTTTCAAACTTCGATGCCAACTTCACATAGCTGGAAACTAGTAAAAATACTGAGAAATCAGACAATCGTTTTTTCGAATGCTAAGTCTAATGGAAATTCAATCAAATTCAACGATCAATTTTGATAAAGAGTTGAAAAAAAAGAATCACCTTTTAATCTCACGAACGATTGAATCTTAAATGGAATCAACTGGGTATTAGTAAAATGGAAATTACTATAACTTATTCTGAGGAAAAATGGGATATCGGGTTGTTAAATTATCGCCGATCCCATGGGGATGTGTATTCCCAGTGAAATGACCCATTCGAGAACGAGGGGACTGATCGTTTAGGACTTCAGGGACACAGCAAACTGTCATCTGTAATGCCAATTAGTGTCATTCCATTGTCGTTGGAAGCCATCCTCAAGAAGCATTGATAAACGTTTCTCTCCTTTCAACATGGTTTTTCCCCACCTCTCCATTGCCAACTCAAAGAGTAAAAAAACCGTCTATCGATGCAATTAATGGCTTGATGCAATTAAATTCACCACAAGAAGCCTGTTCGATTTTTTGCTGCATGCATCAACACAGTCAGAAAATATTTACGCCTCTGTGATGTGAGAGTGGAATTCATGTACATGGGAAAGGAGATGTCTAGACTATTCGCAACATCTGTCACACTTGCTCTATATTCCGGTACAACAGTGTCGTCTTCAATCCATGATTTCTCAAGAGAAAATTATGGGATTTGAGTGAGTCATGGCTCATTTTCAAGTGTGAAAATATATTTCGAGGATTGAGAAAAGAATTATAAATTTTACCACGTCATCACCACAAAATAAAGTCATTCTCTACTGGTGTCAATATCAATCAATTTCTTTTCAATAAATTCACCGACAACGGGCGGGGTAATGATTATTGATGAATCCGTCACGGATTATCGCCGAGAATTAGGCATTTCCTGAAAATGTTTCCTCCCCATTGACCCTCATGCGCACAAATGCTGGGGGAAAATACAATGGTAACCCCCAAAAAACATTCGCCTCACCCTCGTATAGGTCAGCTGGATTTGAGTGTTGAAAGTGTGAGGGATGCCTGGGATTTTCAAGTAGGGTTGAAAGAGAAAAGAGAGGGGGGCAAATAGAGAAACGAGAGGGAATGAGATACTAAGATAGAAGATAGACCACTGCTGTTGTATACCAAATGGGGTAAGGGGGTTTGAGAGGTTTGGGGGATAAGGGGAGAGAAGTAGGGAAACATCTCTCCCCTTTCTCCAGTGGACCAATTTACGGCACCCTAAGGGTAGTAATACGTTTTCAGGGGCTCGAGGGGTCGTTTCTGGCCATTGTTGTCCATTCTACGGATTATTTTCGTCGGGGATATCGGATCACATTTCATTTCACTCGCAGATATATACATTTGGCAAATACTATGTCAAGTCGGTAAATGTTCTCGTTTATGTCTCGTTTTTTTTTTCTTTACGGCCACCGTTTAAATGTTTTTTTTAACGACCCCAAAGCACTTTAGGCTCAATCTAATCTAATTTTTCGATGACTCACAGTGATCATAATTCTGTCAAGGAAGAACAGGACACTTTAACATTTTTTTTGGTAAAACTTTCAACGCGTGACAACTCTGGGAGAAATTTAACAAATTTTTCGAAATTTGAGGGACGAATAATTTTGCGAAAAAATTTGGATTTTACAAATTTTTATGATACCCCCAGAATTTTTTATGAATTGATTTGAACCACATTTTCCACAAATATATAATAACAAAGAAATGACATTTTTTGAAAATTTCAAATTCAATCAATCAATCAATTTTTGGTGTTTTACGAACTCTCAAAAATACAAAATTATCTTTCTCGGAGTCCCAAAAATGCTTAAGTTTCACCTACAAATATTCGAATTTATTTTCCATTTCCGAGCAAATCTGCTCATCCCAGTGAATTCTATTTCTCGCAACTAATTATTTATGGACACAAAGTAATACCCCGAATTATTCCTACCTTCCTTCCTACCGCAAATTATTCCCAAATTCATGTAAACCGAGGCGATAAAGTTTGTGTATACATTAGTATCAGCATTCGTTCGCTTGAATTTTCTAAACGGGGCGATTAAAACTCAATATTTACATTCGCCGAGGGAAGGGAGAAAGAAAGAGAGAAGTGAAGCGAAAAAGAGAGAGAGTGAAAAAATAAAGGGAAAGGAAAAGATTTGACCCGTGCGAGGGGCCCCCCTCGTTTCCGTAATGGCCACCTAATACCCGTACACCTACTTAACTACTGTACACGCGATCCCACATGAAGCTCCGAGAATTTAGCCCCTCGACAGAGTGAGGGAGATTAACGTACGAGGGTTGACTTTTTTTCTTTCGTCTCGCTTTGACCATATAATGCACCCAACCTCGAACGTCATTGTCAGCCGGTCCCCATCATACGTCCCCCGTGGCTCACTTTTTTCCCCTCACCATTATATATTTTTTTATTTTTCTTCCCCTATTTTTTTTTCAAGCGACACTCGACGCTACCCTATCAACGCGTCACATCCGGTCGACTGGATTCCTCGGAATCAAATGTCCCACCACTCTGCAAAAATCAGCATAACAAGCTCGCATTACCATAAAAAAAGTTCATGATTTTATTTTTTTTTTTTTTTTTGGGACGGTCTCCAAAAACCATTGGCCCCAACCTCTCGGCAATAAATTGACCGAAAAAGTGTAGACAAGCGTGTTGCAAGTCGAGCCACTAATGTAAAACAAAGTTTTCGTTGTCCAGACGTTTATCCGTGGGAGTTGAGGAAAAACAACATGAAACCCACGGGGCGGAAGAAATGGCAGAGTTGAGAGCAAGTGGAGGAATAAAGGAGACAAATTTCTAATGGTTGGAGAGTTGGCGAGATACACTAGTTTTCGGTCGATTAGCGTCCGAGAAGTCTCAACTACGCAGTTACTGTTACTCTCCACATGCTGTCGGTTAAATTTATAAAATCGACGTGAAGTCGCGAAACTTTAACGTCTCTTGGAAGGAAATTGAATGTCGTATTTTTTACCATGTTAAAAAACGCAAAAAAAAAGACAAATACACAAAAAAAAATATAAATCTGCTAATTAAAAATTCGTATTAACTGAAAAAAAAAAAAATGTGTTGAAAGAATTTTTAAGAAAGCGTGATAACCGAATTGATCTGAATAAATATTCAAATTCTTGACTGAACAATTGTAGTAGTAATAAAATTTCAAGGTCGTATCTTCATTAATAGATAATTTTTTTTGAGTAAATCAATTCTATTCTCTTGAGGGTATGAGGAAGCCATAAAGAATTCTCGACAAAAAGAAAACATTTTTCTCCGGCCTAAAAAAATGTATTAACGGTGCACGCGTGGGGGGGAAGAGATAATGAGGGGGAGAGGGAGTACAGGAGGACACGTGTCCCACGTATAGGCACTTGATTGAGTGCTTGCCACCCTACGTACGCCATTATACGCGCGTTCAAGGGGGCACCGAGGATTCTGTATCGAAATTAGCACACTCAACAACTCCCTCACTCTTCTCTCCCCGTTTCCATACAGAGCGTTGATCAAATGGAAGTGGCATTAGGCTCAACTGAGCAAATACGCACTAAGTGCCTTCCCTAGTCCATTGACACACGTGTTCTCATACAATATTGGCTCTGTATATCAGTGTATTCAAGTGCCTCGAAATGTCAAGAATAATGAAACATATTTGAGTAAATAAAATGTAAGCAGAAGACTATTCCCGCGTCAATCTCAAATAACCCTGAAATACCATATAGTGAATATATCTATTTATAAATAAAAAATTAATAATAAATGGATGGTAATAACAATCCACTCTATTGTTGGGAGTGCATTGAAAAAAGAATATGATGGAATAAAAAGTAGAATAAAAATAATAATGATGATAACTCACCGGATGCCGTGCGGCCGCTGCGGCAGCAACAGCAGCGGCATTTATTCCAGCACTGGGATACATCTCTCCGGCGTTTCCACAGCGTCCAATTGTTCAACACGTTCTCTCGTATATCCGTTGTTCTCCGAATTATCCCCTCGTTTTCTCACTCTCACGCATCCTCACGCACTCGGTTTAATCCACAAAAGGCGATATAACACTGTAGGTGAGAAAAAGGCGCGCTAAAAGCGCTAACACCACCTCCTACGCCACAAGTTTACACAAGAGCCTACGAGTCACCGCCAGTGAGCGTTAATTTTAAATTCCCCGCCATTCATTTCCCCACCTCCCGCCACACAGACGCGAAAATTATTCCCAAGAAGCAATAACAATTATCCAAGCTCCAACAAACTCGTAACAGTTAATCCCCGCTTCAAGAAACAAAACCCGTAGCCTTCAATCGGTAAAACAGAGTCACGCCGGTGGAACGTGTGCAAGCGAGATGTGGATAGACGCTTCTTCCCCACTTAATAAAATCACAATAAGTTATCGCCACGAACAGCTAAACTACCTTTTGTCAAATCACCCAATAATCCACTCGCGAGCCCCAACTATCCCAATCTGAATTTTAAATTCACGCGATATTCACCGCTTGCTCCGAAAAAAATGCACGTTTTTTCACGGAGTCACACTTTTCGAATTTGATCAGTTATCTCTCTGAACTTGTCATTTTAATATTCCGGGGTGATGTTAAAACTCAGGTTAAAATATATGGCCAATTCACACACTCACAAACTGCCACAACACAATAACGAGGAAATCCAAATGCATACGGTGCTACCTCTGCGGAAGCTCCGAAGCGACTGACGTGATTCAGTGGTGGGGATGGTAGTCTCCCCTCCAGCGCCGCTCCCTGGCGCATGGGAACTCTCTTTCCCTCCCACCCTCCCGCTGTTTGCCAGACCATCCACTGCCCCCACCACCCGGCTATTTTCACAAACCAACACTAGTGTACATAACGCCAGAACGACGTTTCACCCGGCGCATTAACCGGTACGATAGCTCCTTTACAATTATTGCGATTAGTTACGTGAATGACCCCGAAGGGCGTATGGTGAAACGAGGAGGTTGAGAGGGGGTGAGCAGGACACGGGAAATCACGACACGTCGGTCTAATTGAGGCCAGATAAGGACCTCGGACGTAGGTTTAACGTTGATGGCTGCGTTTACGTGAGTTTATTTACGGAGTTTATTTGCCGTTTTTTTATTGTTATCATTATTTTTTTTAATCTCCACATCCCCCCATGAATTTCATGGGGTTGATATAAATTTAATAATCGTGCCGATAATATTTTAGCAGCGCTTGTTTGTTTTTCATTTGTTCATCCGCTCGTTTTGTGGATTTGGGGTGGGAGGGGGGAGGTAAAATTTATCATCATCACCGAAACATGATCAATAGAAGTGAATGGAAAACTAGTGGATTTCATAACCCTCTGGTTAACGGTTCGTGTGGGTGGAAATGAGAGGGATAGATAGTGTGATGGTGGTTATCGTCCCGACAAATCTGTTGGTAACGGTTTGGCGGGGCGATGAACGGATAACTTGATAATGTCCCAATCGTAAGTTGCATGTTATTCGATTCGTTCGCCCATAATACTCGGCTATTTATTCGTCAATCGAACGATTCCACGCCGGGGGTAAAAAAAGAAGTGGAGGGGCACAGGATCCGTCTCTGTGGGGTGTATTATGAACGTACATGTGAAAATTGTACAACACATAGCCAGAATAACCCCGGGGAAACATATCGTGCCGTCTGTTATTTCAATGAAATTCGATCGATATAACACCCGTTTTTTTTCGGTTTTTTTTTTTCATTCTCGGTACTTGTGCCGACGAATTTTTATTTACGGTGGCAATGGAGGCAGAGACAGCGCGGAATTTTTATTCATTTTACAGCGCACGGGGAAATGAACGGGAAAAAAAAAACAACATTGTGACCAATGACCGGTATCCGGGCGGTCATGCGAGACGAAAAAATATCGCGAAGGGTGATATTGGAATGAAAAAAAAAACCTGGGAAATGGAAAAAAAAATGGAGGAGGTATTAGCCAGACGATCGGGTGGAAAGGGGGCGCTGGAGTGATGAGGAAGGTCGGCATACAAATCGAAAGTTTTTCACAAAATGGCCGTCAGGAGTATGACGCGTACCCACCCTTTTCTCTCGCTCCTGCAGTTGTCCCTCGGCACTCGTGATTTTCCTCACTTTCCACACCGCCACAAATATGGCGCCTCCACTCGCTTTCTCAACGCCCTATCTACAACACCAGTTTTCCCTCTTCACCCCGTCTACTTCATCCCCCCGACACGACTCCGACGTCTATACGACGATGACGACTCCCACTCTCACCCTCCCACCCCATACGATGCAGAGGAGTAACACCAAAGTGCCAAATGAGATAGAGAAGGAGAGATGACGATGGAGAGAGTACCACACGCGAAATAGGATCTCCTGTTCACGCTTTACAAGTGTGCATGTCATTTTCATATGTGTGTGTACATACGGTCTCGGAGGCACTCATCGAGTGTGTGTTGGTGCTTCCCTTTTTCCTCTTCTCCACTACCTCACTCCCCCCACCTACTTTACCCGTGAATATCACGCTACACACAGTCCCAAGGAGTTTCCTACTTGATTGCCGCTATCGTCCGACCGACCGTAAAGGAACTCCACGCGGACTCGGTTACACCTCAGCCAATCGTCTCCCTTTACACGCTCTCTTACCCAATAAAATTCAACCGAGACACGCAGATGGTCTCACAACGATCCACGAAGACTCGAATGAGACAGCACGCTCGTCCAATCACACCGTTACCTTTTTATACTTTCACGGTTTGACAGTTGTGCGTTTAGTCCGCGCGGACTCGTGTGGCTGTACAGGGCGCACAAACTCAACGGAATGAAGGTGCTACGCCAAGCCGCAGTGAAACATGAAAAATAGGGGGTTCCGGGGGCAGGGGAACGGGGGGGGGAGCTACACAGGGAAAAACACGGTGTGCGGGGGAGGGGGAAATGAGGGAAAAAGCAAACGAGCGGGATGGGAGAGAGAAAGAGAGAATTGTGTGTATTTGGTACCCGATCCAGCGAACCGAGACAAGCCCGAAGAGAGAAGGGAAAAGAGAAAACGAGCGAGACTCCAGGGGGGAATGTGGATGGAAAAGTAACATAACGAAACGTCGATCCCATTACCTGGAGCCTCTACCCAACCTCGCCGCACTAATACACACATGCGGAACTGTACAGTCCCTTTCAACCCTTAATCCGAGGAGGATTAGAAAACCCCATTGTCATGCTTCGCGGAAATAGGCACGGGATGAGGGGGGGAGTGGGAACTCAGTTGAGAATTTATTCAACTGGATTGCAGACTGCAAGAGACGTGCATCGGGACTTTTCAGGTTTCCTGGGGATTCCGGTGTCCGGTCATTGTCAGCGGTTTTTTCGGGAAATTTTCCCACTTTTTGGAAAACTTCAGGTGATTCTTTGGTTTTTATGGAGTCCCGAGGAACTTTTCAACCATTCAATTTAATTTGTTGAAAAATACAAATTTTCTTTGGCTTTTTATGAAAATTTTTAGGTTGACAATAAAATTCCATAAAAGTTCAATTTGTTCAGAAAATTATCTCGGTCTTCGTGGAATCATAGAAAATTTTTTTTCCCCGGAACAACGTAGAAAGTAATAACAGGCCTTTGGACAAGGTCATACAATCCTAGTAATCAAATTGTTCACCATAACGGTAATGTTCACACCCGGACTTGGACTACCTGGAAATGAGTGTCCGGGAGAAATAGCTTTGAAAAGTGATTTTGCCGAGTGAAAAATATGAATTCTCGGTTGAAATAGATTTTTCCGCGAGTGAAGACGTGATAGGAGGCGAGAAGGTGCATGCAGAAATGTGGGTGCATAATAGGAAAACAGAAGAGGACGATAGAAGAAAGAGCGAGAGGGCTTTTGGGATAAAAGAATAGTGGTATGAGTGTTGAAGCTGTCGGTTGCGCTTGGTCGGCTGTGGTTATGCCGCCACTGTCGCCACAGCCGGTTTGCGTGTACATTCGTGTACGTTTGGGTGGGAGATACGTGTCCTCGCCCCAGTACTCCGTGCTTACCGAGGCGAATGAGGGAAAGAGGGAAAGAGGTACTAGGAGTGGAAGTAAAGAACCGTGTGCGCGCGCAAGTGAAACTGAAGAGAGAAACTCCTATTGATACTGGCAAAAGAGAAGGGAGGGGCGGGAGGACGAGGATGAGGGGTGCGGATAAGATAAAGAGAATGAGAATCCACTCGCAATGGGATAAACCGAGAATGGCGTGAGTGAGAAAGGCTCTAGAAACCAGTCGGTGTGGTTTGTGCGGCTAACCGCACCGATGCTCTCAACCCACGGCGACTTTCCAAGACCATATACACCCGGTGAACACGACTTCCGTTTCCAACGAATACCACTATCGTATACTTTGAATCAAGTATGTTGAATTATCGGTGCATTCAGTGCAGCCGTTTGCCTGCCGTTTTCGATGGGCCGTAAAGGAGCGCTTCACGGACGCCTTGAGAGTTGGCACTTTTCGGCATTAGGCTCAAAAAATACTGGAGCTATTGGAGTAGTCATAATCAAAGGCTATCGAGTGATGGACGAACAGTGAAATTTTACTACGGAACGAAAAGGGACTTTTCGCTAAAGCCAGAATGTAACGGCAGTCAAAAAATAGGATATTATGGGATACCAGTGATACGAAATTGCGACGAGTCTGAAGTTGGCAAGCGAAGGCAAAATCGAGGACTGCCAATGACTCGACCGAAAATCTTCAGTCTCACATGTGTCCTAAAACATTTTTTTTATTTAACATTTTTTAATGTACCGAAAAGTAACTGTTCAGGCAAATATTCAACTTCACGCTCGTCCCTATTTAGTCCTTTTAGAATCCCACGAGTCAAAAAATCCATAACGCTCGTGTTTCGTATCCTATTTTATGTCATTACGGGCACCTATGCCATAAAGCAATATTACGTGCAGCTCATACGTAATCGATCTATTCTTAAATAATGCGACGTGAAAATGACCCCTGACTAGCTGTAGAAATGTAATGGAAAAGGGTTTCCGATGAATCACTCCCTCATTATTCATCGATAATCCCATTATCTTTCCATTAATTGACCACAATGCCGAGCCAACTGGCGTCCATAAATGAGATAAGGTGGATCATCTAATCATCGTGGACCTCACATAAATAGCACATTGATCTGATAAAATAATGGGAAAAATATGCTATTACTTGAATGGCTTCGGGTAGATATTAGGAAATCCCTTTATCAGTGTAGTGATGAAAATAACAATTTGATGAGGGTTTCAATGCTCAAAATGGCAGTTTGGATCGTGAATGCATTGCCATCGGACGGTATCGAGAGTAATGTTGATGAACGGTGGATACCCTGGCAACTGGGGGATTAACAAATTTTACATGGCCCGTGTTATCAACTTGTGCATATACGCTGTGGCGGTCACATTAACTCGATATACCCGTGGGCTCGGTTCTAACAGTTACAGTTGAGATTCGGAGTGAATCGATCTCGTTTTCCGATACCTGATAGCATTGCTTTTGTCCTTCGCTGTAACCTAGATCGAATTTCCCGACGATACTAGAAGTGGAATTTATATGCCGAGGAAACTGCTGTACGTAAACCCCGAGGAGTAACACCACTTGACAATTTTCCATACGACATGGGGTAGAATGGGCACTTTCAGAATCATGAAAAGGTGGGTACTTTATGCAGTTAAAAAAAATACGGGTTTCCGAATATCTACAATTTTTTAATAGTAATCCTTCGAGAGCTTTTAGTGAAAGCGAAAATGAGAAAAGTTGAAAAGTTGAAAAGTCACCTGTTTACTTTTTCAACTGGACATGGGAAAAAAAATAGGACTTGAGGCCCTTGCCATGTCCCGACAAGATTCCACCGCATTCTCCATCAGCTGTATCACACTTCCACCCCCTTTTTTCTACCCACACCCACCAAATTATGTCGAGGTTAATACCGGTAGTATCTTCGCCGCCTCTATGTTGCACGTTCAAAGGAATTAACACGACGTACGATTTATGAGTCTTGCTGTTGCATCCGTGGCATGTACATACGTATACATGCGACCGGTTACTCTCCTCTTTTTTTCCCCCCCCAAATGAATTAATTAATGTTGTCGAGGGGGGTATTGGGGAGGAAGAATAAAAAAAAGGCCGAGCCCACCGAAAAACTTGTTAATCCAGTTATTTTTTTCATTCACTCAGGCTGCTCGAACTCCTTCGGATGACGAATGAATATTAAAGGAGATGAGAAATGAAAAAAAAGAGGGATGTAGAAATACGATTTGAGGCTTTTTTCCCTGGGGTCACAACATGGGGTGACAAATTGAGATGATCCAAATTCTCTACGGCTTTTCTGGTAAATGTGTCCCGAACCTGTCCTCTTGCTCACACCACTTTTACCCCCCCTAGATCGTTCCCAGGGTGAAGAGGGATCGTATAGTTTGGGATTGGGTCGGGCGTCACGGTACCCTTGGGGACTACTGTGGAGCGCTAATGGAATTACTCGCCCCTAGAAGTTTTTAACGGTCGATTTGCCCAGGATCTCTGTCTCACTCTCAGCACCCGCAGCTCTTCCCCTTCGGCCCCTCAATGTAGTTTAGTTACCCCTTACCTCAGCTCATGGGTTGCTACATTCGATGTTTCGTCACGCCGGGGGGTCAGAACTGCCCGCAGATGTCGGCCATAAACCTCTGTCTGTTTTTTCCCCCTTCTCTCTCTTTGTCTTTCTTTCTCCTATTGTAGCTTCTCTGGAATAACACGCCCTTAAATAAATCCATCCGTGCTGGAACGAAATCACCCCTGCAGTTGAGATTGGGTACGTGATGGGTAGTCTTCCCTTTGTCTGTCTCTCTCTCTTTTTTTTTTTTGTTGGACCTCCCCCCGCAGTTTGTTTCTGTAACTGTTTTCTCTGGTACGGGGACACGTGTGCATGGGGATGTGCAGCACGAATTGTAGATCGAGTCAATTTTGGGTGGCAAATTAATTTGATTTGAGTTGTCATGGGCTTGGGGTCGGTCACTTGTTGCAATACCATTCTGAATCAATTTTTGGGTTGTATTTTTTTTTTTTGTGAATCATATGTGGAACAAGGATGTATAGTTCGATTTGCAGATCGAGTCATTCGTTGGGAATGCTTCTCAAATCAATTTGAAAGTGACTCAAATTACAGATCGAGTCAATTTTGACGGGAGAAAATTCATTTGATTCGAGTTGTGATGGGTTCATGGTACACTTGGATTGACGGTCTGAGGATTTATTTACCGTGTGTAGTTTGTCTGTGTGACTCATAAACAACACACGTAAAGCTCAAATTATATATCGAGTCAATTTCGTTTGGTAAATAAACTCGATTTGAGTTGTGATGGCTTTGGAATGGTGGTCACTTGTTGCAAACGCATTGAGAATCAGTTTGAGGATTTATTTTTCTTTGTTGGTAGTCTCTTTGTGTGACTCATACCCTCTACAACCGAAGAGCAGTCGAACAAGCGACAATGGGGCAAGGCAAAAACGAGAGGCCAAGACAGGTAAGCGCCGCGTGTCGTCGTCCATGTTTACACACCGATGCCCAGGAGACGATGCAGAAGCGAAGAAAAGGCGTCAAGGTGGCCAGACCCAACACACATCACCCTTTCTCAACCAGTATCTTCCCCGAAGTGTCACCCGGGGGCAACTCGAGTACTCAACAGGACCAAGGTCGTCCACACAAATACTCGTAAGATCTTTTGCTGAAAATACCTTGCAAATCGAGAGAACAATTCCCGAGAAGTTAAATTGCGATAATCATTGAATAACAAAAAATAAATTTTCAACGGATAACTCTCAAAACTCCACTAGAGTTCCACTGGAACTTGCAATGAAGCAACAGATTTCACGCGTGTAATTTAAACCGTGCGTGCGTCTTGGGATTGTGAGAAATAAAAATGGGAATTACCGATGTGACGGTGAAATTGCTGAAAATGTCATGAATATTCAGGAGCTTGGGCAATCGATCGGGAGGTAATGAGTCTGATCAGGTTGATGGTGAGGGTAGGGAATAGGGAAACCACTTAGGTAGAGTTTATCGCTGGGGTCGAGGTCACACATCGTCGATCGAACGAATCGTGTGCGACACGCTCGATCGCATTACTTAATGAATTCATTTTGATTATCCCGTTTAGCGTACGTTACCACCAGTAAATTATTAATAAACTAACAGTGGGTGGAAGGAAACGACCGAAGACCAAACTGTGGAGGACAAAATACACTACTAGGGCAAAAACGGATATCTCGCTTATAACACCGGGACACGCCCGGTAACTCGACCGTAATACGGTATGAATAATAATGACAATGATGATAATCGCCGTGTGTTGGTTTGCCTCGCACGGATTCGCGTCAGTTCGCTACCATATTTACGAGTACAGCCACGATAATTTTAATCTGTTGAACGCATTCATTACTTGATTTTATTATTAGATCGCCTCCCCAAAAAAGTACTCGCCCCACTCAATTTTCCACTTGACGTGAGTCCAAAAATAATTATATGTGAATCAAAATTAAAGACGATCAGGATTTAATTAAGATGAATTTCAAAGTAGACTGAAGTAACTGAACTGAGAAAAAAAATTGACTCGATGCCATTGACGACTCGATTCCACCCAATTTTTCGACTTGATTTACTCCAACTTTTATTTGACTGTATTTTTTTTTCGCCCTGGGAGATGATTTTTTTTTCATCGAATTTTTTCATCGCGGGTTGTCTCCACGTGCGGAGACAACATAAAGATGAATGAGCGTGAATAATCGAAGAAGCAATTTCTGCGGGGGAAACTCGAGCGGCAATTCACCGACGACATCCAGGGGGAATTGGGGTGGATAAAAAAAAAGAAACGAGAAGAAGACGTCGTGGGCAATGAACTGGAATCGAAATTCGATAGTCAATGTATAGTCCAACAGTTGCAATACAACACGCGAACGCGCGAAGGTGGTCTTTACTTTTTTTTGCTCTTTCCTTCCTTCGTGCTTTTTTTTTGTCAAACGGTAAAGCCCCTCGACATTCACATTGGATAGAGGTTTGAGCTCGTTGTCTTGAGGATAGAAATACACGAAGAGAGAGACCCCCACGTTTATTGGCCGTTCCCCTGAGTCGAGTATCGACGTTGCGGTTGTCTGACTGGAACTCTAGAACATTTTCACTTTTGTCATTTTCACTGGGAACTGTTCCAATATTTCTGTCATTCACCTGCCGCAACTAGGAAATATTTTCCCCATTGCATTAAAAAAATATGTGTGGATTGAAGTGGGAACAAAGACACTCCGTAATGAGGAGAGGTATGGGAACAATTATCGTGCGTTTCTTATCCACTCGTTAAAATTCCTTTAAACGCTCCAGGGCGTAAAATCCATGGAGGAACATAAAACGCACGGTTTTATACCTGCGAGGGGCACGGATGGGGGTTCCCTTCCATTACCATCGTTATTCAGAATGCTGATATCGATCAGGGGATTGGTAACCCGGCAATCTCTCAGTAATTTGCGTTAACCGTGGGTTTTACGGGGATATGTGATTTAAGTGGGATTCGGCAGTCTTGTACAATGCCTCGGGTTGCGAATCTAAAGACTATTCCACGGTCTTGGAAAAAATGGAAAATTTCCACACAGTCTATATCTTTATCCACCAACATTATTTATACAAAAGAAAATTTTATTCATAACATAAAAAAAAATTTCAGTGCTCAAAAAAAAGGTTCTATATAAATAACAAAGTTGGGGAAAAAATTGTCGAGAATTTTTACAGTTGTTGATTATTTAATCTTTATTTGCATAATTTTTGGAGTAAAAAAATCTAGATATGAGCGACAAAGTGGAGAACTTTAGGGTACCAGTTCACAACGTCCGGAATGAAAATAAAAACAGGAGAAGCCGAAAAGATTGAGGATTGTTCGAGGCAATCGAGAATAATAGCCAGAAACGCCTTGGTCTTTTCCTCTTCTGGCACTGGTGGGTAATGGGAAAAAGCTCAGTATATGGTATATAGTATGTACTATATACGGAGACTGCTGGAACGGAAGAGAATGGGGTGTAGGAGGGACGAACACTTTAATCTTCGTTTTAAGTCACGTAACGTTTCGCGCGCGGGGGCTCACCGAGGCGCCGGATGAAAAATTCATTCGTGCCACTGTGTACTCGGGGGTTTACTTGGTCTCTGTTTTTTTTTTTAACCCTCTTTTTTTCGCTGCAAACGAGAACGTAGGAGCGGAAATTCCCTCTTGAGAATTCCATTTGAAAAATAACATAAGCCCGCCCCACGAGCCTTTTTCTTTCGTTGGTTATATTTTTTTACACAAACCCTAGAAATCCCCAGAATATCTCTGTTGATAAATATATTGAAATGTCATACACCATCGAGGTTTATCGTTTCATGAGAGAAAGTAATGAGGAGTACATTGCATGTTTTTAAATATTTTGCACGAGACGTTTTTCGCGTCAACGGTGAACATTGATTTCGGTGGAATTATCAAATCTACTAAATCTCACTTGACAAAATTTTATTTGGAAAAATCTTATCTAGCTATTCAATTCAGCAAAAATTTATTCATTTCACACGGGTCATTAATCGAGTGCAAATTCCCATGCTCATTAATTTTATCGAAGCTGAATGCTGAACAAGTAATTCTCCCCGAAAGAAAATGGTAAGAAAATCGAGGTGATCCACACTTTCCTAGATTCCCTCATAAAATTACAAATCCCCAATGAATCAGTCCATAAAAACTCCCCGTCAAATCTTTCAAACAACACCCACCCCCATGATTCCACTATTTTTAAGCCATGGTTACGAGCGTATAGAAACGCCCCAGTGACTCCAAATTACGTATTTTTAACGCGGTAATGTAGAAACATATTGCCCCATAGGTTCCCCGGAGCTCAAACCAGCAGGAGCTCCGGAGCGTGATGGGCTCCCGAACGCTTCAATATTACACAGAAAAAAGGAAAGAAAAAATCGAGAAAGAATACATGAGCTAAAGACGACGAGAGTTTCCTCGACGGCTGGCCTTAATCGTCGCATTTTCGCCCGCCCAACAAATAACAAACCCCCCGCCAAAAAAAAAGGAGAAAGTACGCGTTAAACGTTTCCCCCGCGCGGTCGCACGCGAAATTCCGCAACTCGCGTGACTGCTGACTTTTTATCCCTCAAGAAAAGATTATACATCAGCCGTTCGCGGCACCAAGTTATTACTCGACGGTTTATTTTACCAATGACGAGGGTCCTCCCCGGATTAGAGCCAAATCAATATTGGGCACCGAGGCGAGGGCTTTTATCGGACGCTGAAAGAAATCCCCCGGCGTTTTTTCTCTCATTTGTTTCCTTCTCTCAATATACCCTCAGTTCCACTTCACCAGCCGTCGAGTGGATTCGAGGAGGACGGAACTACTAGAGGCGCACAAACGGAAGAACGAGGGGGTGCGCTTCGAGTGGAGAAAAAGAGAGAAAAAAAAAAACGGCAACGTGGAAGAGGAAATAAAAAAAAAAACGAGAGATTAGGAGACAGTCTCTGTGGCGAAGGGTATGTCGTGGATTGGGAGGGATTGCAAGGGATTGGATGGGGTGAGGGAGTTCCTGGAGGAGTGAGAGAAAAGCGCTCGAAAGAGTGAAACGAAAAAAAAAAAGACCGGTGAAGAGGAAGATTCCGTTCAAGCAACTTACTGGACTTCTGAGTTCTTCACAATCGGCGATTTACAGATTACGCGCGGTGGAACTGAGTTCACCCATGCGCAAAAGCTAAAGAGGAAGAGGGATGAGAAACTAGTCAGTTATATGAGCGAGGAAGATGGCGCCAGGGATGCGACCAAAAGTCCGTGCGGACTCGACGACCAGCACCGACCAATCCCGGTGGAAAGTCAAGCCGCATCCTCCAATAGTTATTCATCTCACTTTACTCTAACACGTTTATTATCGCTATGGTCAAAGAAATGACTGTTTATAAATAATTAGAGAGGTTTTAATTAACCCTCGAGATGCCAGAGCCCACGGGGCCCTTCGTCCCTGTGCCGGAGTCATTTTAATCAGTTCCTCCGCGAATATTTTTTTTTCATTCCCACAAAATACCGCGTCGTGCGCATTTTCCGCGTGATACTTTCCTCTTACTTCTGTTCATTTTCCCCTCTTTTCTTTTTTGTCCCTCGTATTGACATTTTCCACTTGAGTGGCTGCGGCTGCGGCTGCGCATGCGCTGTTGCAGCGCACGTGCTCGGTGGCTCCATATATTCTATATGGAGACAAAATATTTGAGGGTGCGATGCGTCTGGATCTCATCGCACACATCAAACTCTCGATAACCTGTACCAGATCGTGATGGTTTGAGGATGTTGGTTCTATCGCCTTCCTCACGCACGTTTCCCTGGTGAATTTCTGGGATCCACGCGATATGTTTCCTTTGATCGTTTCGCTGAGAAACCGCTGGGCGACCATCCCTGGGGAGAACTCTAATTGCCGGGGCTATTAGTAATTATACGGACCCTTATTCGCGGTGGTGAGCTTCCACCATTCGTACGTGTCACTCATCCCGCATATGCGGGAATCATTTATTTATTTTCCCAGGTTTCAGTGGGCGGTGCCCCGACGTTTTTGCCGTTACCAATGTATTTCAATTTCACATCCGAAAAATTGTTTATTTCGATCAAATTTAATCGTTTAGTTGAGGGATTTCTCTTTGCGCCAAAAATATTATCAGT